AATGCTGGGAAGAGTTTGTGTTTCTTAAAGATTGTAAACGCGATGGTGTCAGTGAGAAAGATGTGTCTTCTTCTGTGTCTACGACGGAAAAAAATGTGTCGTCTGAGATACCTTCTGCTGTTCCTATTGTACACTCTAGTCATCAGAAACCCTACTGAAGAGGCCTTGACAGGCGAAATGCATTTGGGGTGAAGTATATATTTATATAAAAATAAAATTATATTTTCTTTGTTAACCTGTTTACCTTTTTTAATTTTTTATACCAGTCTACGGACTCGGGACTTATTAAGCCTCCAAAGGTCAGAAACGAATGGAAAACTAGTAGTTTTCCGTGTACTAAAGATTAGTACAGTACGGTACGTAAAATTACTTACATTGCTTTGTAATTTATTACGAAAATCTTAAGTAATTCGTTTAAAAGAAGATTTCAATTAAGTACAGTAAATATTTACTCCCAAATTAAATTGAGCCAAGATCATGTGCATTATCAGTTTTAAGTTTTTAATATTCAATTACATGCTTCGAAAGTTTCCAAACCGTAAATCAAAGCAGTTGTCCAACATGGTCTTAATTAAGAGGCAACTGATACAGATTTCGTTGATTACAACCGAGTTCATTGCTGTTGTAGTGAGTTTAACTCTGTAAAATCGAACGAGTGACTCACTTTGCTCGTAAAAATTCACATGTACGTGTTCGCTATTCAAGACAAATGGCGAAATGTTATTGGAGGAATGTTTATAACGCATTGACCATAATAAAAAATTATCCATTAAAACGTTAGAAAATGTAAAACACTACTTAGTTTCATAATGGTAATGGCAGAATTTTCTTATAGATTCGCATCACTTTTAAAATATTTTGATATATTAAATTTTTAGGAGAAAAATTTCAATAATCCTTCGTAAAATGCATACTTCACTTTGCTTTATTGTTTAAAATCGATTAAAATTACTAATTATAGATAATTGATCGTTTTGATAAATTGTTCATACTTTCTAATATCCATTTTTCTTCTTTGTAAACATTTACGATGGATAAAATCGTATCCTATAACTTTTTTGATTAAAAATTATTTAAAATTCCAGAAATGAGTTGCATAACTTTCCTGGCAAAATATTTTAAAATTGTATGTAGTACCAGAAATTAGATTTTATATGAAAATCTTTTATATCTTGCAATAATAGGTCCTTTAGCGACTGAGAACTTGCTGAGTGATTAACTACCAGGTGTGAAATTTGATATTTAAACGATAAAATAGTATCGTTAACGATTTAGGTCAGGCTGTAGTTAAGTAAACAAGGCCGAGTCTCACGTATTTAACACAACTGTCTAGAAATGTCACCGTATATCACTTGTTTCAATTTGAACTGTAATATTTTAAATATTACAGTCCAAAAATATTCCTTAAAAATCCTAATTGTTCTTAACTTGTAAACGTTGTTAATACAACGTTTACAAGTTAAGAAATATCAATATCTAATAAGAAAAAATTAATTTTTCATCAAATGATTTTTAATACTGTGAAAAAATGTACACGAAAATAAGATATTGAGACATATATTATTTCAAATTCTGTATTTATAATATAAATTTTCATATATGGAAAATTATTCTTAGACTTTTATAATTATATTCCGTGAATAACAGCAAGTTTAACATCTACATTTTATTCTGAAATGGAATGGTACATTCGACTCCAAAGCTATTCCCATAATTTTTGGTGTAACTTTCCCTATTGATTCAATGTTTAAATGTGTGAAGACAATTGCTAAAAAGATTTTCATCACCAACATTCCGTAACGATTACCTACAAATATAACATTCGTAATTCAGATTGTGTAAAATTATTATATAAATACTAATTTATAATTATATTCCATGAATAACAGCAAGTTTAACATCTGCTTTTTATTCTGAAACGGAATGGTACATTCGACTCCAAAGCTATTCCCATAATTTTTGGTTTAACTTTTCCTATTGATTCAACGTTTAAATGTCTGAAGACGATTGCTAGAAAGATTTTCATCACCAACATTCCGTAACGATTACCTACAAATATAACATTCGTAATTCAGATTGTGTAAAATNTAACAGAATAATATACAGCCTATGTCCACCCTGAAGTTCCATTCTAAATATTGGTGAAAGAATTTTTGAAATCGGATGAGTAGTTTCGGAGATTACCTGCTGCATACAAACTTACATACATACATACATTACCTCTTTATAATATTAGTATAGATAAAAGTTATAACGAAGAATACAAAAACTTAGTTTTAGAAGACAAGTTTTTAATACTTCGTTATAATTTTAATATGTAAATTACGGTCGCCATTTTAAATAAACTAACATATAATGTGTACTTTAATTGTTTAGCTAATGGAAATATCTAAAGCATAGAGAATTATTTCTGTTACGAATTAATATCTATATGATATATCTAATCACTCTATATAAAATAATTCGCTTAAATCATAACGGAAAAGGGTAAAAAATATGGCACCGGCAATTGACGAATTATCACAAAAATTTTGTTTCAAACAGTTTATATTGGAAATAAGGGGGAAGCACACTTCAAATGTACAAATAAGAACTTAATTACGATCGGCATAGTGTACTAACTAAGCCATAGTGTAACTTGAGCATTTCATTAACAAATTAATAAATCAATAGTAATATAGTTAAATAATTAAACTACAAAAGTAAACAAAAATTATACTAAAAATAAGATTTAAATAATTATACAAACATTTATTCAAATATTAAGCAATTTCTCAAAACGACTGAACACATTTTATTTAATACCTTAGTGTTACATATTAGAGACATGTAACATTAAATCTAATTGGCTTAAGCACGACACGTGATCGTCAGATTCTTTTCGTTTGTATGGTCATTATCTGTAGGTTTTAAATATTAAAATTTGTTCTTACTTACGTCATCACTTTCGAAACTTTAAAGTTCTGTTTAAGTAGTTCGAAAAAGGAAAGCATGTCTGAAAATTCGGCGTCTGAAATTACAAACGGTAATGAATGTCTTAGTTTGATTCAAAATTATAAAGTTCGGCAATTAGCAGAGATTTTATACAATGAATTTGAGTTCCTGATGAAAAAGTACGACAATTATAAAGTAAGAGAACTTCCTACAATTATAACTATTTTGGGAGATTTGGATATTGAATACGTCCGGAATCGAGAAAAGGAAATCGAGTTAGAGTTAATTAAAGAAGAAAACAGACTGCTTCTTCGGCAGTTTGAACACGAAAAGAACATGAGAAAACTTATGGAACAAGTAATTTTCCGTTTCTTTATTATAGTAGATATTTCATTTCATATCAACCATTATATAAAATATTCTATAACATACTGTTAATTAATAGAAGCTTATAGAAGTTGAATGCAATGCCGAAGAAAATTTTAAATGTTTAGAAGATAAAATCAAAGACCTCCAATCTTTGACTTTTTTTCTAAATCACAGAGCAAAAAATCTTTCCGAACACTGTTTGTATATATTTTTTTTATCCTAAAAGTAGTTTTTTATTTTATTTAATTAATTAATTTCAATCCTTCAAGGTACACAGATAGAAGAAGCATTTTCGAGACTTCAAGAAAAATATCATAAAGTAATTATAGTTTAATATTGCACACGAATTAAAGCATTTTATGATTTTCATTTTAATTCTTATTTAGTTAATCGAAGATTGTAGAGAATTATCCATATTGGTGGACAGTGATCCGGGAACATCCAATTATGCTTCTGTTCAATCAAAGTAAGTTTACTCTAGAATACTTTACTCGACAAAAAAGAACGATTCTTTATTCAAAACTCTAACGGTTTCAGACGAATTGACAAGTCATCTTTAGGAAATCGAACTCAAGCTAATAGAATGTTAAACAAAAATGTTCGAATAAATTCAAAAACTGGAAATAAAAGATTTACATGCGTAAACAGTAATATGTAAACATAAAATTTGTTCCTTACAATTCTGCATATTGTAGGTTTTCATTTGTAAATAATTTTTATTGCGATTTTTGGCCAAATGTTGGTGCCTTTGTTTAAGAAAATGTAAATTTCTTGTAATTATCAAATATGTCGTAATAGCAGATCCGGATTAGATACTGCATAAGCTTCCTTTTATATCCCAGTGCGTTGATTATTCCCGTAATTCTTTCAAGTTCTGTATTTCTGTCTCTAACGCTTGTGCCATTTGTGCACACTCTTTTTATTAACGAACGGAAAGATACAGATTTATTATGAACACAAGAAAAGTGAAAATTTTGCTGTGTTACTTTGTTACATATTACAGAGAAGATTCGTCGTTAAACTAAATACGTTATTATAAAATTCATATTATTGTATAATATCAATTATAATGAGTGCTCTAAACGGGTGATTTAGTTCACTCATTATGATATTAACAAACTATATTATATTTCTAATATTAATTTTTTTTAGTAATTGTCTCGTGTTTTAATTAATATATAATGCTTTTTTTCTTTAATTTTTTATTTCATTTATTTTTATTTATTTAATATAAAATTGGAAAATTCGTGTTTTAGATTTAATAATTTTGTAAATATTTTCAAATTTTATATTTTTACAATAGTTCAGTTAAAATGGAGAGCGGCTCTTTCATTTCAAAGATCCAGTATTTAAAAGATGATAATGATTTATTAAAAAACGTATCGGGCATTTCGGATTTAAAAGATTATTATGCAGATGACTCTCCATTTCAGGACAACGAATTCAAATATTCATCAATTTCTAAAGAAAATGGAAACTTTGATGTTACAACACTAACCGAATGTAAAAGTTCTGAATCTGAGAAACCAAAAGATGTAAGTTATACAACTCTAAAATTTGTATGAATTACTTATTGAGATGATTGGAATTGCAAATGTCGGCTTTATTCAGTAATAATAACTTAATATGAATATTATCAATACGTGAAATATTTATTGTGTAATTTTCATACAAACTAAATTGCAGTATGTGTTAGTATATCAGACTGTGAAAATTGAGTTAATGTGTTACTTCTTTACAATTTTTCTTATATATATATATATATGCACATCTAGGCCGTTCGACCAATTGCTACGAAACTCGGCACTTACATTTTAACATACTTCTCACGTAGATAATGTCATAAATCTATAAGGTTGTAAATTCTAGAAATTATGTAGACTCGTGTTATAATTGGTCTGAATTTAATTATATGTATATATTTTTAATATTTTTATAAACAAAAATATTATTAAGTTATTTTCATTTAGATATTGTCTGTAAACAAAAATTCCTCGAACGAAACAAATGAAAATTTACGAACTACAAATGTTCTAGAAACAGACAAAGAATCACAAGAATATGTTCAGGAAGTTAAAAATTTGAGGAAAGGTATTATTAGCTGTTATTTTTTTTTTTTTACTTTTCATATTTCTGTCATTATATACTGTTTTAAAGCAACAAAATGCTTTTATTATTCATTGAAAACATTCAATTTTTAACTCTCTTAATTACTCATTATAGAACATTTGACAAAGAATAAAACTATTCTGCAACACCTTGAAACAATAGAAGAAAATGTTCATAGTGGAAATTTCAATTCAAGATCACAACGGTAAAAAGCACAACTGACATCTCTAGATATTAAATGTCAATAAGTGATAAATTAAATTTTATGAATAATACGTTATGTAGCTTATATTGGATTTGATCTTTTCAAAATAGTCGTTTCGGTTAAAAATTAAAAATATACTGTACAGTTAAACCTCGATATAGCATTCCCGATCACTCCGATCTTTCCGATATCACTCGTCCGTATTCGTAAAGCTCTATGAAATATTTGTAAACAAATTTTTTCTACAAATAGTAAATAGAGCACTTGTTAGAATGTCGGAATCGGAATATGTATGATTCGGCATCACAGAGATATCGTTATTATCCGATTACGTGACAAAAATTTCTGAAAACGCCAGTGTCGACGTCATTACTATATACTAAGTGATCGTAATTAAGATACACTCAGTTAATGCTGTCAAAAAATATATTTAGCAGTTCAAAAGCAACCAAATTTGCCGATATTTTAAATCATGCGGAAAATATTTCTGTAAAAAGAACTTAGTACTATAACTGATCAGTACGGTACTATTAGCGCTTTGGATCTTAATCCGTATGGTTTTTGGTTAGAAGATACTTTAAATGTGTGGTTTATCGAAGACATACTGCAAATTTGGCTCCTTGAAAGCCACATTGTATGTGAGAAGCCTCACAGAGGTACAATAACGTTTGCCCGTTAAAGACGCTGTTAATCGCCTTCAGGTTTTATACCTTCAGAATGGATACCATGCTAAGCAGTATCATTTGCATTCCTAAAATTTCTACAACATGAGTGTCTTGTACAAATAAAATGTTCGTTGCTTACAGCTTAAAAACTTTTAGGCTGGGATTATACATAAAAAAAGCTGACTGAACCGTAATGGCAATTTTCCGTTCAGTGTAAATTCAGTGTTTCGCACATAAAATCGTGAAAAACGGAATGAAAAAATAACAAAATTCTTCGCCATCTAGTGTTAGTTCACATTACTGTACTAGCAGCGCTACATCTACATTCATTCCGGCTCCCGCCAATTCAAGCTAAACATGGATTCTTTCGTGGTTCTCGGTTACCAATTATGCATTGTTCAATTTTTAACTGTATATGCGGAGCTTCAGCGACGTCAGAAAAAGCGTAAAATTTGGGTAAGGAAGCTGTTTATGGCTTGCGAACAGCTCAGTTTCAGTGGAAGCCTGATTAAAGAACTTCGTCTACATGATCGACAGTATTACTACGAGTAAGTAAAGTTTTCCGTTCCAGTGTGCTTTTTAAGACCTAAGTGCCTCTTATTTCAACTCTATAATTTTTTTTACACAGAATATTTCGTAGTAAATCTCATTGAATAAAAGTTCACGCGTTTCTCGTTTTCAGCCTCGGGCAGTACAGCAGCAACGTCAGTAACGTCATCACTCCCAGGGATCTGATCGGTTAACATCTACATTTTATGTGACTAGAAAAAATTTCACTGAGCACCTCTGGACTTGATTTTCCAGAACTTCACGGGTGACGAACGAAAAACTTTTATGATTTTGGCTTTCACTGGTGTTTTTCCATAAGTTTGACCCCAGCTTTAGAGTGATGATTTTCTTTTACGGAGATATCTTCGTCATATTCTGAAATTCATCATGTTCTGAAATGTCTCCTAATCAAATTTAGTTGCGTTTGAACTGGTAAATATCTAAGCAGCGTTGAATAGCAGTTCTTTAATTACGATCTCTTCGAACAATTCTTACTTTTTACGGTCCTCCAGTTTACACTGTAGTATTAATTTGATGATCATGTTAAATCGATGTTTGTCTGTACATCTAACACAATGTAAAAACCAAACATTTTAAAAGTATAAATTAATATGCCTCAATGTCCTTGGTTTATTATAATATAATTTTTTTCGTCTATTAGTACGTATTTTCTATTATCAGGATTTATTAGACAGGTATATTAAATAAAACAAATTTCTGCTCTGTGAAACTTTGTTGCAGTAACTGTAAAGCCAGTCTAAAAAGTCCTGATAATAGAAAATACGTAGTAGACGAAAAAATTTATATTATAATTTTAAAAGTATAATTACCCTTGCTAAACTTTAATTTCATTTTTTAAAATACTAGAAATTTTAGCTACAAAAATTCTACAAATCGAATTTCAATCTATTTTACCTAAGTTAATTAGCAAATTTATATTTTAATGTTATACTGTAGTTTTAATTTTTACAGATTTAAAAATGATTTAAAACTAGTAATTAATTTGTACAATTAATTCAAGTTAATTTATAATTATATTTTTAGGGAATCTTTAATTCCAGAATCCTTATATCAAGAAATAATACGCAGTGAACTAGGGATTGAAGACGATACGCCAGGTAAATTTTTGCTGTATAAATTAAACAGTTTTTTAAAATAATCAAAACAATTGTATGCTTATAAACAGAATCCAAGATTATAACCACTCTTATGTCTTATCCAACATTTTATCCACATAGGAAATTAATGAATTTATTCATTTATTATAACAAAGAATTACGATTTATTGCAAGAGTAATTAAAATTATGCTAGCAAAAACCCGACTTTTTGTTGGTGAAACACCACTACGTTAAAGTGAAAAAGTCGGGTCACCGCCATCTCTCGTTTCCGTCAAGATGATGATAACCGTTTCCATAATAGAGTAGTGAACGCAGACTTACATAGTTTATAGAAACAAACAGTATCGCTAACAATTATTTGTTTCAAGGGATCCACTCGACGATACTCCTGAAGGAAGCGTTTCTAGGAGTTTCTTCTATCCAATCTGGAGGATGACCTAAGCGACATCATTGATCTGTAGTTAGAGAATCGGTAATCTGTTATTAAGCAGAGTCAGTCTTTCGGCCTGTTGGACTTCTGGGCGGAGACAGTCCAACGTAACCAGGTTGAATCTCGGGAAAAAGAGATCGGTCTCTTATGTAGAATGAAACCATTGTTCAGGATTTATTAGACAGGTATAGAGAAAAGATCCAACGAGAAAGATAGTCAGTCTCTTTGGTAAAAAAAAGACGTTCAATCGTATCTCGGAAAAGACGATGAAAGAACTGGGAGTCCAGTGGTCGACTCGGAAGTGGAGACGTTTCTTCGTACTCCAGGGAAAGACGAAACCAGAAAAGGACCGTTGATCTTTCGGTCAATAAAGACGTTTTCTCATACCCAGGAAAAAGCTTATGACCTTGGGCACACGTGTTTTTAATATATTTCTGATATAAACCAATATTCTGATTCTTAAAGATCTCCTTTCTCCTCGTTTCCTATTGGTTTCTGTTCTGTTGCTATAACTACGACCACTTAATTTGTGATCGAGCATCGTTTTGTCATCGAAATGGAGAAAGTGTTCTGTACTGTACATCTTCCTTTATCATGATGCTGGGCCCATTACTCCCTGGAATGTTCAATTACTACTTCCTCGGGATGATAACCCGTAATCAGAGAAAGATGTGGTTTTTTGTTTCCGTTCGGGGAAGGATATTGCTATGATCAAGATACCACTCTGCAATTTGACGCAAGAAAGCGTATTCCCCTTTGTTCGTCTTACATATCGGGTTTCTTGTTTACAATTTCTCCCTTACAAACATCTAACTTACTCCAATTAAATTTTCCTTCAAAACACATTTCCTCTGTTTTCGCGCCTTTCGAAACAAAGAAATATCAACCAACCAACTCAATCAATTTGTTTCGACAAAAAAGAATACAAAAACAAGTGAAGGGTTTCGGGCCTCACAACTACACACACTTGAAATTTAATTCATCTCCAACAACAAGTTCAACAATTGATAAAATTAATGATGCCTAAAGACGGAATGTCCAAAGAAATTGCATGAATTTTCAAATAATGTAATAGCTTAATCCAGAATTTAAAGATTATGAAGAAAATAACTGAGGAGTAATAACATTTGATGGCTTTTATTATGTAAAAATTGAGTATATTATATACTAACTTATAAGACAGAACTGAAGATAGCCGTAGGTTATAGAGAAATAACAAGCATAAAAATCTCTAAGATAAAACTACTTTATTAGAATAAGCTTTCATAAATTCACATGGATCAATATGAATAAAAGTTTTAATTTAATATTTTAGTTTTAATTACATCTGAGAAAAACAGATACAATTCATTAATATATTTTTACATTCATCTTTTATTTATCTAATTATTTGGCTGCTATTTGAAAAAATTGTAGAGCTATAAATTCTCACTGTCGTCCCTCCGGCTTCTTTCCTTACTCTCAAGAACGGAGTTGAAGATGAAAGGCGACACGAGATATGGAAACTTTACGGGCAGGAAGCCCCGATTAACTATAATATAAGAGCTTTTATCTAATCCGAAGTCATATTATTTCTATTCAAAAATTCTTTCCTGAAAGGAATTAACAGATGATTGGCACGACTGTATTGTTAAAGAAAAAGTATATTATACAGGGCAAACTACTACTAATTTGAGATGGAGAGCATATATTTTAAATAAAATAAATTAAAAATATGATTAAAAATTGCTGCCCGGCATTATGACGATTCACAATAAATAATTGCTCGTTTATCTAGGAATTTTTCTAATTTAATATTTTACATTAAAAAAATGTATAGCTATGTTTCCATAAAATAATTTTTTTTAGATATACCATCGGAAGAAATATCCTTTTTCACTANAAAATTGCAGCCCGGCATTATGACGATTCACAATAAATAATTGCTCGTTTATCTAGGAATTTTTCTAATTTAATATTTTACATTAAAAAAATGTATAGCTATGTTTCCATAAAATAATTTTTTTTAGATATACCATCGGAAGAAATATCCTTTTTCACTACATCTGGTAACAATGGTAATTCAAATCAGTAAGTAGTTTGATTTTTATGCGAGAAAACTTCAAAATTATTATAAACTCTAAACATATTGCTTTGATATTTCAGAGAAAAGAAAACTTATCTGTTAAAACAACAATTATTTGAAAATAAAAAATTACAGAAAAAGTTCGAAATTTATAAAAATAATAATCAAGTAAGAATGAATAAAGAATAAAACAAACTTTATAGCTATTATAAGGATTTGAAAGAATTATTATTGTCCTTATATCAGTAGTGTAATTCATTGATTTAAAAAACAATTTTTTTATAAAATCACAATTTTTATTGCACAGAATAAATCTTGCCATCATCGGGATTGTTTTACTAGAGCAGAAATTTGTAAGGTGCTAACTGAAAGAAATTATTATAAAGGAAAAATGGAAGAGACAGTCCAAGTTTTACAAGCAATCCAATTTGAAAATCGTAAAAATATGAACATACCAAACAAATATAAATATTCAATTAAAATATTGTAAAGAAATATTTAAACTTTTCTTCATTCTTAACGAGACAACGTTTTAAATTTTTATTTTGATTATAGCTTCTTGAAGTTCCTTCGCCTATTCAAAAAGAAGTCTGTTCGAAACAATTTGTGTTACAATCAAAATATCTCCGGAAGATTTAATGATATTCTTGACGATTTCATTAGTTACGTACACAATAAAATTGATAGTAATACTTTGTTACCCCAACAAAGAAAATGGTACGATACTTATTATAAATACAAGTTAAAAAGTAAAATAACTTTAAATAATTCTCGTTTTTTAGTTCTGAAGATGATCAACATAACGCATCACGGAATGCTCAATTCTACCGAGAAGAAAAAAATAAAGGGGAGGGGGAAACTATAATAAATGTATAGATTCTCCATTAAGATTCAATTTTATTCTTATTTAAACCTTTCTAAAAATTAACTTTTAAATTTTATTTCTTTCCTCTAACATTTAAAAATTACTGTAAACCATTTATAACTAATGGACCTATTGAGTTTTTACATAAATTTGAAATATTGGTCTAAACTTGTATTTCTATTTGTAAAAATGATAAATAAAATATATGACAAAAGTATGGAATATGCACATATAATATTATTGAATATAATCACGTTAGATTCGAATTGGGTGAGATTTCTAGTAAATATTAAATCCCAAAGAAAAGATTTTTTTGGTTTTAAGGGAAAAGTTAACAGAGAAGTTGAACGTGTTAATTAACAGAATAAATAGTAAAATAAATATAAAACTTAATTAACTCGTCATTTTGAGATTCGAAGACGCAATGCTTGATATAACGATATCACAGTTGTACGAACGTTAGCGTATGAGATATTAGAAGCATATCCTTACGTAAAAAACAAGAAATAAAAATACTGGTAAAAATTTTTTTATTTTTACTTCAAATATATAATTTTTATTTTTATTGTTTTGTAGTTTAAAATGTTTTCATTAAATAAAAGTGGTACAAATAATTTATTTACTCTTAACAATAGTCGAAGCATTAGTTAACTCTTTTGGAATACATAGAGATATGCTTCAAATACGAGTACGATTTAGGAAACAGCTGGTGAAATTTAAAAGACTAGTCGCCCAAGTCGTATCATTTGCAGAACTTTATATATTAATACTTAAACATCAAATTAAACAATTGTATAATGTGAAAAATTTTTTAAATATATATATATATATATACAGGTAGAACAAATATGCAATAATTGTAATGTCTAAATGATGTAATAATTAATATTATCACCACATGTAACGATTATTTACACATTTTTGTGAAAACTGGTGCAGTATGGATTACTTTCATCCGATGTGTAGCCAGTAGAAAGTTCTATGTCAAAATTACTGAAAATGAAAATTAATATTTTTATATACAGTATTTAAAGGATGCTATTTTTATTATGAATTTCAACTTTACTGTTACTTAATAAAAGTTAAACAGTATAAATTACCTTGGAATCGTCTTATCTTCTTTCCTCTATCGATTCGTGCTATGGATTATGCTGGAAGCAAGACTAAGGGAAATTTGAATAATCGTACTCTCCTAAGGAAAAAATGTTTACAATTGCGAAAAAAGTTTTATTAATCTGAAATTTTATAGTACAAATAAAATGCCTTGTGTCTTCGAAACAATTATAGGACAATTTAGGATCCAAGTCAAAAAAATTGAAATTGAGTTTCAAAAAGTGTGATGATAAAATTTCTGTCAGACGTCTGATTTCCAGTATTTAAAGCTGAAAAAACGAATCCCATAGTAGTTTTAATCTTTCATATAATAATAGGCTAGAACAGGTTAAATTTTTAAAAATAATAAATGAAAACTAAAATGTAAATACACAAATTGTTCATAATAATTTTTTTTTATAGACCAAAAAATTCTACGTTCTCTTTTGGTAGTCATCACCTGACACCTTCTGAAACGGTTCATCGATTGTACAGAGGAATAAAATATTAAAGCAACTCTAATCTTGAGCCAATACAGCATTCGTAAAGAGAAATTAGGTTCTGTTATGAAGTAGCATAGATTGAAATATATTTTGTGACACTGCTACAGCACAACGTACTGTATTAATTAAGAATGGACAAGAATTCTAGACACGATTAATATGAAAAAAGTTGGTATTACAAAAATTGTACTTTGTGTTAAAATTAATAGTTTATATAATTATAAATGCCATTCAAGCAAATTTTACTATAATAAGTAACAATTAAAGTTTCCTATAATTTTTTAGTTGTTAAATTTTATATTGTTTTACTTCAATACTCTCATACGAGTATAATCTTATTTCAATAAGATAATATTTAAAAAGTCAATAGTGTTATCTCCTAAAGTTGAAACTGGTTTATACAACTACTCTACACATATTTTGATAATATGCTTTTTATCTGAAATGGACTATGTCATTTCAGATAAAAAGCATATTATCCAGTCGCTTTACCAGGCAACGCGTCCAATATCCCCGTAATCATACAGATTTTTAACAATATCGGTTTTTTTATTGCTCACGATTAAAAAACAAATACCATACTTCGATCTAATTACTTAGTAATTACTCTTGTTGACTTGTAAAGTTGAAAATTTTTGTTATTTTTAGACTCATTTTCATGGAATTTTTGATTGGCAACAGTTTTTGCCAGCGCTCTCTAGCGCTTGTCAGCTGTAGTTGCCACTATATAGTCTATATTGTCTCTTCCTGACTAATAAAGTTTCAGTATTAATTTTTTTGTTATTATTAAAGAAATGTGTGTTATGTACAGAACTCTTTGCAAACAACATAACAAATATTGTTATTAATATATTGATACGTTTAAACATAGCGTTACAGAAAACTCGGTCCTTTCGGCCCACCAATTTTTTTTTTTTTTGGATTTTTGGAATGTTTTTTAAGTCTCCAAATTTTTTTAAAATATTT